ACGCACACATGTTTATAGTGGCAGTTTATAATAGCTAAATCTTGGAAATAACCCAAATGCCCATCAAGTGGTGATTGGATAAAGAAGATGTGGGGTTTTTTAAATAAAATGGAGTACTACTCAGCCATAAAGAAAGATAAACTAGACATTTATAGCTAAATGGATGCACATTGAGGCCATACTCTTAAGTGAAATAAATAGGACACACATGTGTAAATACCAAATTGTTTCTCTGGTGTGAGAAACTGAAAGTATAAATGTGGACCAAAATGTATAACAGATGTGAAATAGGAAGAAAATGTTCAAAGGGGAAAGGGAACTGGGGTGGGGGGAATAATGAAAAAAAAAGGAAAAGACAAAAATTAAGCTTTTGTAAATAGGGAGGGGTGGAGAGACTGAAGGGAGGGAAGGGGAATGGGAAAAAATAAGAACCAAGATATATCATGCACAGGTACAAAATCCCAGTGATAAATGTGATCATAATGTATACCTGAAATGTACCAATAAACTTAATGAATAAACTTTTTAAATGGTGAGAGGAAGAATGAAACAAGATCAGCAAACTATTGATATTTTCTTAAATGAGTCAGAGAAACATGGAAGTTCCTTCTATATTCTTCCTGCTTTGATGCATGTTTGAAAGTTTTGATTAGAAAATTTTAAAAATAAAAAATTTGGAAAGAGGAAAAGAATTGCAGATCTTCCTCCTGCTGGTTGAGGAGTTGTGTTCTTCTGCTGAGGGTGAGGAAGAAAGATTCGGAAACTCCAGAGTTTCTCTTCCTAGGAAATAGTAATAAAGTGACCTGGAGGAAGCACTAGAACTAGTTTATCAAACATTTACCTAACATCTACTATCTACCAAGGGCTGGAGTATGATGAACAAGAAAGATATCAATTCAGAGAACATACTGTATGCCAAATACTTTCAAAAACTCCTTTTTTAATCCTCATAATAATATTGCTCAACAAGGTAGAGATTATTTTTATTGAGTCAAGATCACTCAACCAGGAAGGGGCCGGTTTTGTTGCATATTACACAAATCATTTCACAAATAGCCAAACTGCATGCCTCAATGTGGATACAACTGGGATGTAACTATTCTTTTACATTTGTATAATTTTGTGTTTGTATTTATATAACCACATAGGAAATCACTTGCATTTTGTCATGTAATGCACTTGCCATTTTTTCATTGACATGTTTCTTTAGTACCTTCTATGTCTCCAAAACTGTACAGACAAAGGTAAATACTGCCCTGCTCTAAAGCTGCTCACAAGCCAACTGAGGGAGCACATGAGGAAATAAGTAAATAATGCTTTGTATTACATGCTACCATATTATACACCTGCCCATGGAAGCCTCCCCGAGCTCATGTATAACACCAACTCATTCTTGCTTTCTCCCACACCCCCCAACTTATACTTTACCATAGCATTGTTCACAGTCTAACTCACCTTAGAATTCAGAGCTTTTTCAAATGGGAAGGGATTAAAAGTTGGAGAGAGCAGGGAGGAATGGCAGGGGAAGGGGACAAAAGAAAAGAATTAAAATGTATTATGTACATGTACAAACTCCCCATGATAAATATAATCATTATGTACTGCAAACATGTACTAATAAAATATATTAATAAAAAACAGAAAAAAGAATTCATTGTTTTTCCTATGGGCCACTTAGTTGCAAGAACCATCTTCCATTCATCCTAAGACCCCCAACTCTTACAGCAGTTCCTTGTACTTAACTGGCAATCAACAAATTTGTTGATTTGAAAAAACCTTCCCTGCCAAGTACAACCAGGATTAAATTTCTACTCTCCCAATTACACTTTCAAATTTGTGTCTTTTCCTCATTTTGCAATTAGAACTATTCAACCGATAATCTCTTAACAGAAATCACAGATTTTTCAATATCTGTTAAATAATAAGACAGAAAAAGAAGCAAAAATACAGTTACTTTTTTCACAATGTTCCATGTAGATGGAGAGATCTGATATAAATACAAGATATGATCAAAAACTATAATGAATGTTTGAAACATTTTAAATGTATTTTGGTAAAAGACACATTGCCAATAATCCCCCCTCCGGCATTCCCCCTTGCTTGAAACACACTTATTTTTGTCCTTTCTGCACCAGTTCTGGAAGTCTTCTTTCATGTCTTTAGTTGCATTATTATGGCTGCCTCCATGTCCTGAATCAATCAAAGTGTTTACATTTCATGGTCATTTCAACTTGGGGAAGAGCCAGAAGTTGCATGGCACCAGTGAATAAATTGCAGGTGAATATAGTGGGTGAGGTTACAGCATGTTTTTACAAGCCTAACTTTTCACTGGATGATGGCACTCAGCAGCCACATTTACTGTATTTTTTATCACACCTCATAAAGGAAAGAAGACTTCCAGAACTGCTTTGGAAAGTGGCAAAAACAATGGAATAAATGTGTGTGAAGCAAGGTGGAGTATTTTGAAGGGGATTAATGGCAATGTCTCTTTTACTGTAATAAATTAGTTTAAATTTAGACATATACCATATCATGCCTTGTTGTTACATTCTGGAAAATTGCTCTACTCGAGAAAACAAATCAGCTCATATTTTTGAAAAACTCTTTTGTTCAATAAAGAAATTGGCCTTTTCCCTTTTGGAAAATATCATTCCCCTTCCACCTTTTATTTCTAGATATGAGTTTGCTCAAAATGGCTTGTTTAGGGCCATTGAGCCTTTTGAAAAACCAATATTTACTCTTAGCATCTCAGGATCTGCTCTTTTTCTCTACCAATCTGTCCTCACCAAAACAACATCGTACTTTTCTGCCTTTTACTAAATATAATGGTAAATATCTCCTCTCTGGGTTTATGCTCACAAAAGAGGACAAGTCTTTACTATCACCTGAGCTCTTAGCCTCTACTGCACAGGGAGATGTGTCATCAATGAGGTGTTGCCAGGGTTATGAGCAGAGAGACTAGTCGAGAGAGAAGCATGAGACAAGAAACCAGCCCAGCCTGCCCTGTGGATTTATAGGCCAATTACTTTAGTAATGGGTACTAGTAATGGGTGGCTGTTTGTAAGGTTAAAATGCATCTCCTAGATTGACAAATGTTCCAAGATTTTTTCTCTGATCTAAAACCATCAGTGAATCAATGTGAAAGCTGTCACTTATGTCAAACCTTAATAAAATAGAGTCACTTATGTCAAACCTTAATAAAGTAGAATCTGAAGGGCTTAAAGAGAGGGCTCTCACACATGCACACTTGTAAGAACTGCTACATGGGCCAGGGATTTACCTCAGTGGCACTGCACCTGCCTTGCAAGCGCAAGGTCCTGAGTTCAATCCCTGGTACCAAAAAAAAAAAAAAAAAAGAACTGTTACAAGGACTCTCTGAAAACCATGACCTCGCACAAAGGCTACTGCAACCTTTCATTTAAAAAAAAAAAAGCACTTTTGTGAGGAAATCTGCCCAGCAACTGTCTATTCAGTTGGACTGAATAGACAACTGTCATTCCTTGGACTGATGCCACCCTTGTTAGTCATTCTTGTAGCAAAGGATAACTGTTTCAAAACAACTCTCATAGCCTTCCTCATTCTACCTTTCAAACCTTTGTCTACCTTTGTCTCCCCAGATATGCCTATGATCTATCACAGCATGCGTATCCCAGATTTGCAAATTTCCTGCTCACTCCAAAATAAAATCATTTTTTAGAAAGTTTCTCCATATTTGTTATTTAGGTTGACTCTGTCTACAAAATCCAGTTCAGATTCCTTAGCCCAGCATCCAGTCTCCAAGATCTGCCCAACTCCCCAGTCTTGCCACCACTACCCTAATACTCCTCAAGACTCTTTGATCCCTCACAAACCCAGCCCATCCTTCCCCATTGCTACTTTTGCTTGTTCTCTGTCCTCAGTCTGGAATGTCCCACCTCTACATCTTAATGTGACTTGTACCCATGTGTCAAAGCTCAATTAAGTGCCATGCTCTGTCTTAGTTACTTTTCTCTTATTGCTGAGACAAAATACCCTACACCCAAAATTAAAGGAGCAAAGGTTTATTTAGTTCATAGTTTGTAGAGGATTCAGTCCATAATCAGCTGGTGGCAAGGCAGGGTGGCATGGCAGACAGGCATTCCAAAGGAGAAACAGTACATGTAGGCAGAAGGTAGCAAAGCAAGCAAGAGAGGGGACCTTAACAGCATCTTTCTGCCTCTTTCATACTGTATCTAGGCTACTCGGATTAAGGCAGTGCCAAACCAATCAGTGGAGTGATTTATAGTCACACACCCTTAATCCCAGCATCATACACTCTAGATCTAGCTACCTCAGAAAAACCATCACCTATAACTGAATGAGGCTTTGGGAGGACATCTAGACACAAGCCATAACATGCTCCTTTAAAGCCTCTCTCTTCTTCCACAGATCTTTAGCCCTTTGCCTTTATCTGCCTTCTTTTAACTCTCAGTACTTTTTGCCTACAGGCAGCGCATGGAACAACAGTGGAATACCTGCCAGGATCAAAAAATAAAGGGGCCTCTTGAGAATTTAACTATGGAAATCAACCTATACATGGACAATGACTTGTGACTGAAAAAGTGTCTCCAAGATATCAGAGTGATTTTTAGGTGAAGTCTGATTCTTGTGGAGTAAATGGTATTAGTATGTAGTGAGTCAACAATGTATCTTGAGTACATGCTATAAGACAGTTACTCTGCTTGACACTGAGGATGTGAAATGATTAATGAGATACAATCCTTGTGGCAGTTATAGTCTAGTAAAAAGCCAGATTAACAGCCAATGAAATACACTATGAAAATGCTATAATAGAATCCCCTCCTTCCCAGAGGAGATGATTCCTAAGATGATAAATGGTACTTATGCAGGATTTCAAACAGTTCAGCATGACTAAGCTCAGGATATTGAGTAGAGATAGAGCAACAAGACTGAGAGGCTAGAAGAAGAATTCATAAACCTGATTAAAGAATTTGGACTTTTGTCCTGTGCTAATTATTTACCTTTTGCTTTATCTCACCAAATCCCCCTTCAGATCCATTTTCTGCCCTCCTCTGTGGCCTAGCAGGATAACCCCTGCAGAATGCACCACTCAACTCTCTTCCCAGCTGATTTTCCCAGTGATTTGGATAATGGTAATCTCCAATAGGTCATCTGTGGGCAGAAAAAAGAAAAGGTTATTTTATTTCTTCTCTGTGGCCTTGTATCAGTATCCTCTACAGCTAATGTTCCATCAGTTGGCCTTTACTCCAACCAGTGGTAATCCAGTAACTCTACTTTTTCTTCTTTCCCGCTCATCTCTACTGTGGCAACAGCTTCTTACTTTTGCTAGTCACTGGGTATCTTCCCATTCATAGATTTCTTCCTTAACCCTATCCATATATCTGCACATAATATTTTCACTAATGTCTCTTCATTAAACCATGTGAGATAAATTCTGTTCCATATCAAGTTCCTAACTGATATGACCCCAAGGGCTATGGAGGGATGTCAAAGGCTTGAAGAGAGACATTATATAATTGAGTTTTTAGTTTAGAATGTTCATCATGTCCATACTGTGGAGAAGTGATTGGAGGAGGGCAAAACTGGGACAGAATATCTTAACTTAGAAGGTTATTTCAATAATACAGTCAAGAATTATGAGGACAATAGAAATTAGAAGAAGTAGATTCAAAAGACATTAAGGAAGCAGAATTAATAAGACTTGGTAATTGACTGGATATATAAAAATATAATATAGCAGCCAGGCATGGTGGTGCACACCTATAATCCCAGCACTCAGGAGGCTGAGGCAGGAGGATCACTGCAAGTTCAAGGCCAACCTATCAGCTTTATAGTGAATTCAAGGCTAGCCTAAAGTATGTATTGAGACCCTATCTTAAAATAAAATAAAATGTAGTGATCAGGACCAGATGGCCAGTACAGAAAACAGAGGAGGACTCATACAAAAATATGCACCTCCAATCCTACTTAAGAGACAAAGCCTTCAAATTTAGCCAATCTATTCCCAGTAGCTCCCTCTATCTTGCAAAGATGGACATATTAGCAAGTATAAACTAAGTATCTCTGAATACTTCTGATACCAAGCTTGCCAAGAAGCTTCATAAACACAAATAAGTTTCTCATTCAGATCTAACAATGGGGAAGAAAATATTCAAGTCACATGTCCTCTTTTCAGTAAGACATTTATTTCACTATATATTAACAAATTACTACTCTGGTTTATATATAACCCAACATGATTTTAATACCTGAGTCCAGTCCACTCTGATATCCTGGAAAGATCAGATTTCTATATCTGCAAAGAAACTGGACACAGGCTCTTTTCCATTCCAGGTCCACTATGTGGATCTACTGTTTCACCTCCATAAAATTCATCTTCTGCTCCATTCTGCTTTGTCTGGCTAACTCTAATTTGTCATTGAAGGTTAGTTCTCTATAAGGCCTCCTCTAATCCCTGTATCTGCCTGTCTTAATAACATGCAGCAAACATGAAGTATGGAAATTTGTTCACCTCTGCCTACCCAGCACCTGGCCCACAGTTTGTCTTCTTTATTGGATTGAAAGCAAATCAACATCATAAACTATATGTCTGATTCACTGATACATGTTTCCAGAGTTCCTAAAACAATCCCTTGCTCACAGTACATCAAAAAAATTTGTCAAATTAATAAATCACGAAATGTAACATGTTCCCTTTCTTCCTATACTTCAAGGGAACATAAATAATGATAATAAATAATAATAATAATTATAATACCAGAGCCAAACATAGCCAAAGGAACCTCACAGGTAACAAAACTGTGCAAAGATACTAAGAGGTTTTACAAAGCAAGTCCATATGAGATTTTAAAAAGCAATACAAATGCTGCAGGACTTTACTGTAAAGTGGATCTGCCAGTATCAACGCTGAAGAAGCCAACACTAAAAAGCCAAATACCAACACTTTTTCCCAAATACTGATTTACACAAATATTTTTCAGTTGCTACAGCTTTTGAATCTATTTTTGACATGCACACTAAACATAGCAAATAATACAGAAACTCTAGCTCCTTCGTTGCCATCTGATATTGAGGATTCTAACCTCACTAGTGAGGTCAGGAAATATCGACTTCATAACCACAAAAGATAACTTTCCTTGGCCCCAGGCTCCCAACTGCAGAATCATCTTTGTGATTGTCATTTCCACTAGCTGCCTATGCTTTAAAATAGAAAACTGTCTCAGCCAGGTGTGTGGGGGGGTAGGCTTAAAGTGGCCTTTAAGTTTGAAAACTAGTTAAAATTAGACCAAGTCCTATGTCTCTGTAGTAAAGCACTAACAATATCTCTTTAATATTTTGTGTAGCCATATATTATTTTAATTTTTATTACAGAAATTTAAGAATATGTACAAAGTGGGCCGGGGATTTAGCTTAGTGGTTCTGCCGCCTGCTTTGCAAGCGCAAGGACCCGAATTCAATCCCCAGTACCAAGAAGAAGAAAAAAAAGAATATGTACAAAGTTAAAGAGAAGAGTAAATACTTCAACAATTAACAAGTATAAAAAGACAACTCAGACACAAAAGCATTACAGAAAGAAGTATTACTTTATTATTTTGCAAGAGAAACCAACTTCAGAACAACTTCTCTCACCAAAAAATATAACAAGGACTTGGGAAAAAACACAAGTTACCGAGACTACAGTCAGCATTTTGCTCATGTGACTGTCATATCTGCAAAAGTTGTCACGAATCTGCAGACATCAGTATTATGAAAATCAAGAATAAAGTTGCTCTCTCCCTCTCTCCCTCTCTTCCTTGCTTGCATTAGGTTGTGAGCAGCTTACAAAAAGGGTGTAGATCATTATTTAGAGATGAGTATTAGGCAAGATGTTTCTGCCTTTTTTTGAGAGAATGCCAGGTGTTTGCTGGTTTTACAGAGGGTTTTCTTGGTTTTTGTTTTGTCTTTGTCACCAGAGTACAAACTGTGGTAAGTCAAAATGGCAGCACAGCAAGGTATCATTCCTGTTTCTTAGCCCCTCCTTTTGGCCAGTTCTGCCCCTTAAGTGTGTATTTGACCACAAGGGTTCGTTCAGAAATTTTCTGACTCATGTGATTAATCTAGTGGATTTTCTCTTGTTTGACCAGTTTCATTTACATAGGTGCCACAAGAGATGTTGATTAGTACTTGAAGATTTCCTTAGCATGGTTTAACAAATTAAAGCCATGTAATACTAAGCCTTGGAGGATTAATTTATGACTAGAGACTTAAAAAAGTTCTAGTCATACTTTGGTCACATTAGTGTCACAGATAATTTGAATTGGTGTTACTAATTAGCTTGCCCTTTATAAGTCTGGGAAAAGTGTGTCCATTTTGCCTCTACCAAGCTTCTCCTCAGTAACTAATAACTGGAGTGTCCTTTCTCCTCTGAATCTGAGCCCCTCAAGTCTGTCCATGTACCTGCTCTCAGGAAGCAGTATTTTTTTCTGATTTTATGGCTGAGATTTCACTTGCCATAGAGCAAGTACAAGGCAAGTTTTCTGGAAGAAATTTTTTGAAGGCATCATTTCCGCATACAAAATACAATTCTAGTTTCTTAATAGTGAGTCTATTATGTCTAATGAAGTGAAACTTGTTTTTAAATGTGACATTTCTGACATAATCACTATCACAAATTTTCTTTATCCAATTATATCCTAGTAGGAAAGAAACAGATTGATATTAAACCTATGTGAATAATGACATGGTCATGAAAAGTAAAGGGAAACAATAAATGGCACTTTAATAATAACCACTGTTACATGCAGTTTTACAGACAAGCCAATCTGTATGTATCATTCTTTTCTCCAGAAAATTTTTCTTAGATTTTCCTCTTGATTTATTAGCTTATCATCTAATGTATCTTATAGAGTTTTTTCCTGATTTCTGAGAGATTCATTGCAATAAGATACCATTTAAAGAATGTTTTTGTTCCTTTTTGTAGAGGGGTTAGATCATTAAATTGAGAATTAGTGATAGACCGGGAAGAAAGAAAAATGTTCTTATTTGTCCAACTGAATATAGAAAATTAATCATGAGTAAAATTTTCATCTTCATTTACTTCAGTCCTCAATCACTAATTCATCATTAATTCTTGATTTTTATTCTTTGTTTAATTAGCCATCTGTTGTCAGAAAGTTCTTTCCTTTTGGACTAAATAAAAAGTCCTAGAAATTCTGTGATACTGTCAGCTTATACTGGTGCTGCAGTTTGGAGTAAGTGTCCCTTAAAAGATTCATGTGGTAAAGGCTTGGTCTCCAGGGAATCACAATTGGGAGACAGTGGAACATTTAAGAGGTGGAGATTGGTGAGAGGTCTTCAGGTCACTGGCTGTGTGACCTTTAAAGGGATGGAGGGACTCTAGTCCCTTCCCCTTCCACTCTTTTATTCTGGGTGATGAGATGAGCAGTTCTGTTCTGTCATGCACCCTCTGCCATGATGTGCTGCCTCAGCACAGGCCTCACAGCAGGACAAATCAATCATGAACTAGAAGCTCCAAAACTGTGAGTCAAAATAAACCTCTTCTCTTTATAAGTTCCTGTATCAGATATTCGTTACACTGATGGAAGGTTAATACAACTAGGAGCCTGTACCCATGAATTTACTCCAGTGGGTATCAACAATTAAGGGTATCTACTTCAGGGGATTACTGACTGAAGTTATGATTCTTTTGATGTTTCTTCCAGAAGACTCTATTCCTTATCTATTGCCCAAATGTTTAAGCAACTGTAAAGAAGAAGAAACTCTCTGTTGATGAAAAATGACTTGGTTCAATTTACTATGATAACTAATAGTATCTATAAAAAGAAAAATGAGACACACTGCATAATTATTTTATATAAATCTAATCAGCAATTTCCTTAAGAGTCATAAAGTAATATAGACAATGAAAACACTGACAATTCTCACAATACAGAAAATATCAAGTATATCAAACGATCTCTAGAATTCATCCTTTTACAAAATGAGGAAACCAATCTTTGGTATTGTCTAATTGCTACCTGAGAAATCTCAAAAATAGTTTCATCATAAAAAACAAAAAAACCCAGCAAATTCATTATTCAGAACTTGGAAAACCCAATATAAAATTTTCTAAAAGGAGACAAGAGGGCCGGGGATTTAGCTCAGTGGTTCTG